CTCTTTGCCAAGAAGAGCTGGCTCTGTGAAAGACACCTTCATGCACATTTAGTGGCCTAATTTGTGCCAATTAGATTAAGGTGTGAGTGCAGTCTGATGACAAACACGCTCAGATGAGAATCAGCTTAATGTGGCCTGGTTCTGATTAAATTGTTTCTCCTTCAGCTGTTTGGAAGCAGCGGCTAAAGGTCAATTTATTCAGGTGGCTGGAGGCGCCTCTGCTGGTGACTGGCCCTCCTTAGAGCCGACAGGCCCGAGCTGCTGGAGGAGAAAGTGCTCTCCGCTGCCTGCTGCCCCTCCCAGGGCCTCTGCCGGGCCTGGAGTGAGGGTGGGTCTGAGTGCCCAGGGCTTCTGCACCAGAGCAGGTTCCGGGAGGTCCACCGGTGCTGGGAAACGATGCTGGCTACAGGAAGGAACCCAGAAGCTTGGGCTTGTCCAGCCCTGCCCTGTGTCCCCAGCTTCCTCCGTCCTCTGAGTCCCATCCTTTCCCTGCAGAGCCGAGCCTGGGGGCTGGTGGGGGGGAGGTGCACTGACATCGGACCTTCCCCCACCAGCCCCTGACCCTGACCCTACTCTCTGTGCAGTTTGGCCTCTGGGCCTCGTGGCTGGCCTGGCTGGCCGTCACCACGCTGGCCTTCCTGAAGGTGTACCACAACTCCCGCCAGGAGGACCTGCTGGACAGCCTGATCCACGAGAAGGAGCTGCTGCTGGCCCGGCCGTCCCCACGCACCTCCTTCCAGGAGGAGAAGAGCGCTGTCATTTAGACACAGTGCGGGCGGGCAGTGGGGGGAGCGGCCCCGGACCTCCCTGCTACACTCAGGGGCAAAAGGCTTGCCTGGGGAAGCAGCTGGGGGTCTCTGCCTGGGTCCCGGCCTTATGCAGCCCTGTGTGTGTCCCCTCGAACTGTGTGTAGTGAGGTGAGCGCCCAGTGCCCACGCGTGAGCCCGGCGGTGGACTGGGTGGGTGCCGGCTCCCTGGTGAGGATGGCGCAGAGACACTGGGGCACATCCAGGCCTCGTGCAGGGCCCTGTGCCTGCCCCGGAGGACCTGACCGGCTGGCCTGGGTGGGGGGCGTCCAGCTGGTCTCCAGCCCCGGCCCGATGCTATCTCCATGCCAGCTGGCCCAGGGGTGGCCAGAAGTCACTCACCCCTGAATGAATTCTGCATGAACTCTGCCATCCAGGCAGAGGCTGCGTGTGGGGAGGGGCTCACGGCACCTTCCAGCCTCACCCCGAGTTGGCCCCTCCCTGGCTGAGTCCCCCTCCTGGGTGGGTGCCGCAGGCCTGGGAGACCCCATGGCCTGCCGCGGGGAGGCTTCTGAGGCCCTGTGAGTTGGCCTTACTGTGTGTGGGTCCTCTGTGCTAGGCTGGGGGACGGGGAGGCGGGAACCTGGGCTCCACGAAGTGGGGGGCATCATCTGGTTGGGGGTTTGGGGGGCACACGTACTACACAGGATTGTACCCGGAGCCATGGCAGGGGGCTGTGTGGGTGAGTGTGCATGGGAGGGCGGGATTCTGTGAGTGCCTTTGTGCATGGGGGGGTGTGATGGTGTGAATATGTGAGTGATGAGAATGTGACAGTGTGCATGTGAGGTGTGAGTGTGTGACTGCATGTGAGTGTGTGACTGCATGTGAGGGTGTGACTGCATGGGAGGTGTGAGTGCATGTGAGGGTGTGACTGCATGTGAGGTGAGTGTGTGACTGAGTGCATGGCAGGTGTGAGTGTGAAGTGTGAGTGCATGTGAGGTGTGACTGCATGTGAGGTGAGTGTGTGACTGAGTGTGCATGGCAGGTGTGAGTGTGAGTGCATGTGAGGTGTGACTGCATGTGTGGATGTGACTGCAGGTGTGACTGAGTGTGCATGTGAGGGTGTGAATGTGTATGGATGTGAGGATGTGACTGTGCATGTGATGTGTGAGTGTGTATGTGAGGGTGTGACTGCAGGTGTGACAGGGTGTGCATGTGAGGGTGTGACTGAGTGGATGTGAGGGCATAATTGTGAGTCTGCATGGGAGCGTGTGACTGCATGGATGTGAGTGTGCGTGAGTCCATGTGAGGGTGTGACTGCGTGTGAGGGCTTGATTGTGTGCGTGGGAGTGTGTAGGATGTGAGTGTGTGAGGGTGCAAGTGTGTACCTATGACATGTGCACGTATGTGAGTGTGTGGGGAGGAGCATGCAGGTGTGTGTGTGCCGGACAGGGGTGTCTGCACACTGTGTGTGAGGAGGAGCGTGCAGGTGTGTGTGTGCCGGGCAGGGGTGTCTGCACACAGTGTGTGAGGGGGAGCGTGCAGGTGTGTGTGCTGGGCAGGGGTGTCTGCACAC